ACCCTCAGATATATGCCTCTGTTTCAGGTGTAGCATTAGACCTCCATGAAGACGATGGCCACCCTGTCGATCCTCGCGCACACCCTCAAGCCTGCCGCTCTCTCTCCCCCTCTCTCTCTCTCCCTCTCTCTCTCTCTCCCTCTCGGCGTGTGTGTTTTTCAGGTCAAGGCTTCTTTGAAGCCGGAGCACAACCTGAAAGCGGTCATGCTGTACGGTCCGGGCGGCGCGGGGAAGACCATGATGGTCGAGGCCATTGCGTCCGAGGTACGGTATCGGTGTATGAGGTCTGGGTGCGGGATGGAGTTAGAACAGACGAGAACGGCCAGGTGTCAGCCGGACACCACGATTAGAACGGACGAAGTGGGACGATGTTGGGAAGATAAAGCTCAGCCATGGCAAAGTTGTGGAAAAGTCGGGATCGGACAATGACAACGGGTATCGTCGGCAAGAGGAACCAACTGAAATACTATCACACTGCGAAGGGTTGGGTACAGGGGTAGGTGCAAAAAACGGGGGTCTCGGTTTCTCATTTTTTCGCTGACCAAGGAAAATCCCGAGGTTTTCTACGTACGTGTAGGGAGGTCTGCAGGACTTCTCCACGGTAGGTGCGGAAAAGTCATTCCGCAAATCCTCCATTGCTGATACGTGAATCTACAACAAGGGCTAGGAGACGGTGATGTTGCGCCCGCTGAGTTGAGATGGGCTGCCCAATGACCACAAAACACTGCATGCATGAACAAAACTTCCAGCGTCCGCCTCCGGGAGATAAAACGTCGAATGTACCCTCTCCCCGCCCCCGTTCGTCCTGACAATACGGCGTTCCCTCAGCTCGGTGCCCTGGTCATCAACCTCTCCCCGAGCAGGCTGAAGGGGCTATTCCCGGGGAAAACCGGTCCTACAAAGGCTGTGCACATGGCCTTCGAGGTCGCGAGGGACGTGTCCATGGCTCCAGTCGTGATCTACGTCGACGAGTGCGAACAGGTGAGACTTTCAAATCGAGCGTGAAGTTCGGGAGTTGTTCTTCAAGACCTGCCGATAGTTTAACCTTCGATTCTTTTACTGCATAGCAGTCGTCCCGCCCTGCTTGTACTATTAACCCAGGGTCACCACCGCCCACTTAACCGCCTTACGGGGGTCTCCTCGCTCCACGCACCCTTTTTTCGCCCGTCTGAATATTGATTTTACATTGTGCACCAGACTTGCAACACCACAGAGTGAAGGCTTGAAAATAATGAAGTGAGGCTCCCGTCTATTGGCGGTTTTATCTGGATATTCACAAGCTGCGCCCGTGGACCACGGAAGAGAAACGAGGGACTCGTTCCTCGTACCGTATGCCACCAGATAATTGCCTCGCTGTTGTGGTTTCAATGTCTTATCCGAAGTCGGACCCGTTCCGATCAGGCAACAATTTCTCGCGTGTGTAATGTGATACAAGCATGTTTTTTCATTGCTCCTTCCCTCCCTCCCTGCTCCTCCGCAGATGTTTGCGGTGGGGGGCAAGAAGGGGAAGGGGGCGGACAAGGAAGGGGCAGCCCGATTCAAGAAGGATATTATCACCTACAAGAACCAGGCGTTACAACCGGTAGGGGAACAACAGCGGCATGTGGGTGCATATTTTCAGCCATCACCGAATAAATAACCAGATGACCAAGAAATAAATCAGCGCCACCGGATAAAATTGAGGCTGCATGTCCCTTTCAATCTAACCCCTCGCGCGTATCGATTGCACGTTGGCTGTGCTTCTTGAAGTAACATCGACAATGTCAATTGGCTGGCCAATGGGAGGGCTTTTCAGTGCATCGGTATCGCTGTTTGCGTCGTTCTTTGAAGTCATTTTATGAAGTGTTCGTGTTGATTTCGTCACAGAGTACCGTGTCGGCGATGGTTGCTGCTGTCTGGTTGTTTGCTGTTCTGACGTCTCCCCGAACCTATTGTGCTCAGACTGGTGTTGTTCCAATGTACCTAACTGCTGTACGAAGGACGATAGTCATCACCAAGCCAGTTTTGGTCGAGAGGAACCCAAAGACTCTTAAGTTCACGAGGAGCCACAAATATCGAGTCTAATGTCGGATTCTGGTTCTTTCCCAAGATACAACCTCTCGCTCTTCCACATCACATTCCCTCCTCCGAAGGAGATGACCTGTGTTCGATGTTTTCCTTTTACACAACCACCCCAACGATGTTCTGTCTCCCAGGAAGGGCTTTAGAAAAATGTATGCAAGAAAACGCGAGGGCCACATCAAGATCCTTCCGTCTTGTCATTTTCCCGTTACACAAACAGGAAGACCGCGTGATCATCGTGGGGTGCACCTCCAAGCCGGAAGCCGGGGATGCCAAGGAGTTCAAAAACTTCTTCCAGAAGTTCCTCTACGTGCCCGCGCCGGACTATGCCAGCCGGCTCATGCTGTGGCACCACTTCATTCGAGAACGGTTAGAGCAGGTCAGGTGTCTTCGGTCGGTCGGCCGGCCCGCAAGCGGGAATCGAGCTCGTTAAGTGCTCGCTCATCATCGCACACACACACAAACACTCGCCGACAAACTGGCAAACAACCAGGCCAAAGTTGGCGAGCAATCAGACAACATTTGGCGAGGCTACGACGGACCAAGCTCGTTTCATTGTCAGCGCATCATCTCCGTTTTTTGTCGTTGCTTCTTCATTGATTATCCTCGTTCTTCTTTGCAGAGTCTACCCGCACGCCAAGCAACATGATGCTATTTCAATATGTGCACGCGAAGCCAACGCAGGAGCCTTCACGATCTTCAGTGACGAGTAGCAGACCTCCCCGCGCAGACGTTACCACACATTCATACTTCGTTTTGGGTCTTATTCCAGACAATGGGTAGCACACCGACCAGGCTTGAAGGAAAAGCAATGACAATACGCACACACCGTGACCGCCGCCGCCAACAACAGGGGTCCCAGGGCCACAGCGTCCAGATCGGTAGCACGGTCGACCTCAGCACCCTGGCACACGTGTCGGAGGGCTACACGGCCGGGTCCATCTACCGGTCGGTTAAGACCACGCTCACGCCGCGACGGGTGCACCGCATCGCCAAAAGGCCTCTCCTCAGCTCCGAGTTTTTGGGGGTGCTAGCCCAGCAGCAGCAGCTCCTCGTGAAAAACGTTCAGGCAAGGGCGTTGCCATGATATTGTGGTCGCTACGACGACCGACCGCGGAAACACGAAAAGGGGGCGATGGGGGCGGAGTTCCATCGACTGTTTTGTAAAAGGACAATGACATTTTTATTTTCTGCCGAAGCTATCTTCGATACTGGTGCTTAGCACGGGTGCGTTCTATTCGAAAGGTCTCTAACCTGGCTGAGCTGTGCTGGTTCACGCACACCCCCTTGACAATGCCCTTGATTGCTCTACGTGGCTGCTTTTTGTTCGGTCCCACAGGTGTACCAAGACTTCACCGCGAAGATTTCCGGGCTTGAGGAGCGGCGGAAGTTGATCAAGGATGCCAAAGCCTCAGAGGTAAACATACAGAGATCGGATAGAGACGTGTTTTTGCAGTTGTCACCGCCGCCGTCGTCGTCGTTTTTGATGATAATGCTTATGTTTTCGCCGCCGTCGTCATAATCGTCGCCGAGTTGTCCGTTCGCCTGTTGCGACAAGTGTTTAAGGCTAGAGTAATGTTTGCAAAGGCTATGTGTTTGATTGATTCGGTACTAGCGTAAAGGGATTGCAACGCCGCAACCGAGGAATAGTATATTGGGCATTGCCTTTTGTCCGACTCCAATCTTGTGTGCGTTCACATTATTTTTATCGACCACTTGTATGGTCTTGTTCACAGGGCGGAGCGGACGAGAAAGGCGGGAAGGGGAAGGCCAAGAAAGGCGGCGGCGGAAAGAAGAAGAAAAAGTGACTTATTTCTTGTCATAGCCAGGTTCCGGCGTCGTGGTGTTGTTTCGCTGAACCTCGTCCTTCGCGCTTTTTCGTGGCTTGTTGTTGTTCAAAGCGGTTCTCTCCCCCCCCTCCCAGACTACTGTACTCGATACGAATTCCTTGTTGTTTGTTTGATGTTCAAGAAAAATCCGTCGCACCGAGACGATTTCTCCATTCGTTTTACGAATAGGAATACGAAGTATGGTCAACGGCACTACTGCTGCGTGCCCGACCTGCAGGTACAACGTGACGTGATCTGGTGTGATTGGAACAATGAATTCACAGTTCTGTTGACGATGATCCTCAGAGACCGCGAGGAAGTGATACTGTTTGATGGCTGGTTTTCGGCGTTGGCGGACATGACTTGTTATTGCCCCAAAATCCCCTGCATGATTGGAGGTTCGGCGATATGTTGTTTGTGTGTCGTTTGTGAAAGCAAGAGGCAGACGTTGGCCATTTTGCCCATCAAATACGCAACACTTGCGCAACGGACTACGATGTCTGAACCTGCACATAGCTGCTTTGAAATCCTGTGTGTCGGGGGAGGGCGCGAACACGAAACGGCCATGACGAGAATGCAACGTCCCTTGGGCGAGATGATTGTATGGCGTCCGTTCTTTGTTGTTTGAACACACGGACATACATACGCATGCCCTCACAAAGAAAGAATACAGACCGGGCACATAAACTTTACCAAGCTTCGTGTCGAGACTCAGTTTTGCTTTCTTCGTCGAACCCGCCGTCGGTGGTTTAACATACCAACCCAAGCACCTGCTGTTCCATACCAACCCAAGCACCTGCTGTTCCTCAACTGATTCACCATCAACTCACAGCAGTATTGAAGGCTGTGCTGACAATCAAACACTTCGGATCAGACGCACAGCGCGGATATCCTGCGGTGGCGTGCTTTCTCGCTGCCTCCGCGACTCTCATGTCATACGTACTTCGTTCGGACTGGCGGTGGTGCTGATCGGAGGCTATGGCCAGGATGTCCGCCTCTTGCCTCTTGAGCAACGAAACGCAACATAAATGACGAACAGCCTAAGTCGCTGTTGAAGTTGCCCGAGAATTTTCACGTACGCGTATTATTATCACTATTAACATACGCACATCTCTCAACACCGACAGGGCACAAACACAATTATCCGCACAAGGGCAGCGCGAGCAAACACAAAAGAGGGCCGTGTGTGTGCTCGGCGAGCCACCCCCTACTCTAACCACCGGGGCAGAGTGTACGACAAGCTCCCTGTGTTCGGCTGGGAGAATCGGAATAGGCAGCAGCAACCTTTTTCTTCATGAAATCTTCCGTCCTCCTCGCCGCCGGGATGGTTGTGGGCTCAGTAAAGGCTTCGCCCTCCGCCCCGATGCGGTTCATGGAGCACCTTCACGGCTCAGGGGTGGACTCACAGTCGCCAGATCGAGGAGGGGAGGGGCTGCAGCTTTACGGTGAGCAAAGGGAGAGAGTTTGGCGAACTCGGGTGTGGGTCCGCCTCTCGAAAATCGAGACCAAGCAAACAACAGCAGCAGCAATCGTTCGGTTTGTCCGCCGAAGTTGTTTTCTACAATCGCCACCCACGCGGACAGGCCCAAAGCGTGGGCGATCTCAGCGTGCTTCTGTCCCAGCGATGAAGCCACCCGTGTCCTGAGTGAGTTTCGTTTGCTTGGGTGTTGACCTACTGTGTTTTCTTCCCCACGAGAGGGAGAGAGAACTCGCTTCCACAAGAGACCCGAATCGGGTGTGTTCCGTTGGAGGGTACCTATGCGCATGTAACCAACGCGGCGATCAAACCCGGTGTGGTGTGTGGGACGCCTACCCCCCCACCCCCCTTCGAGACTCTCTGATCTTGCCAGAGTCGCTACGTCTGACTCGTTCAAAGGCAGAGACAGCAACACACACAGGTCCGGGTTCCTTCCCCGTTTCCCCCGTGCGCGGGTCAGAGTGTACTTGATGCTACACACAAGCGCCCTTCCCTTCTGTTATCTACTGCTGTAGGCGCACTTATGCGGAACCTCCGCCGTAAACGAGTCGCTCGGGATGTTGGGTAGCGGCAGAAATGGACGCTATTAGCGCGATCACCGCCATGTACTTCTCATCTCGTGCGTACGGGAGACACGCTGCTTGCTGTGTACATTAGCTGCAAAGGAGCAGGCACCGCGATGAACTTCTCGTTGATCCCCCTTGTAGGCACAAAACGGTCGTGTTCCCCCTGGTAGACCCAAGTCGGTCGAAAAAACGAAACGCGGCACCACTTTATATACTTCCGAGTAAGTGTGCGCACGCTGTTCCCAGAACTGACGTACACCACAAAGAGACAAGTATGCAAACTGTTCGTTGAGAGGATTCAACTTCGAGTTTGTGGAGGTTCAAGTTGGAGTCATGATATCGCTCGCGGGGGAAATGCCTTGATCCGTTCACACGGCACAGCAGTCGGGTTTGGGTGTGGTGGAGTTGCCTGTACGCAGGAGGGTATTGACAGGTGCGGTAGTCCAGCCGGATGCTTTTTTACCACACCGTGGTGTTCGTAATGGATGTGTACGCCTTTGCAGGCTCCGACCGGTTTCGTGGAAAACCTGCTGTCTACTCAATTTCAATGCAGCTGTTGACTTCCGAACATGACCTGCTTTCTGCCCATTCGAAGCAACTGGATTCGTACGAGAGTGCCGTGGCGAGTAGACCCGCGGCCCTTGATGTTCAACTGCAGTTCAACAACGGACGACAGCAGTAGATCCATTGTAAATCAAGGAAAAATAGATACACAGAAAGACTACGCATTCGACACTATTGTTCACGATGCAAACAGGGCGTCTCCCGAAATTGAGATGGCATCGCTACAAAGGTATCATCTGTACATACCATGTGAATTACCTGCCAAAACCAGGAAAAAACAAAAGCAAAAAAACAAAACAAAACCCATACATATTTCATCGTATGCATGTCAAGTGTTGGATCAGTACGAACATATGAAGGTACTGGGTAGAGAGAGATCGGAACGTTTTTAATGTGAAGAAAACAACAAATGTATGCATACAGATGAGCATGTAGACCAATCATGTAGATATCAACAACAGAAGATACGCAACGCACTGGTACTAGTTTCAAGCTCTATGGTACATACCAGTACTTCTTCTTGCAGTCGTTCTCGACAGCAACACGAACAGAACGGTGGCGCGTGCTTACCAAAAGCCCAAAGCAAAGATTTCAGGATGTTCATGGCACGCATATGCATGCAGCCTCTCGATTTTTCCAGTCGGTTTTGAAGTAAAGAGTTTTTTTCCCAGCCAAAGAACGGCGACTAACGTCGATTCCGGCCCCCAGGCTGTCAGCAGCATTCCGACACTAGACGATAGCACGGCAAAGAGTGGTACTCCAAACTTTAGGGTACACCAATTATGTTGTCCGACGCGGATGAACAATCAGCCCCGTACTCTCCCCTCTCTTTGATCCTTACCCCCCCCCCCCCCCCCCCCCCCCCCCCCCCCCCCCCCCCCCCCCCC